GACATGAGGCGGCCAGTTAATGAGGGCCCCATGGGGACAGACAGAAGAGGGTCTGGTGACAGGAATGCAGGCAGAGCTGGCCACAGTCCTAGGAGCAGTCTTGGCTGACATTGCCTCCCATGAAAACACAGGTCAATTCCTTTAAATCAACAGTAAGCACCAAGCTCATTCACCACCCGCTCCGCATCTCACACCATGCAGGGCAGAAATTGTCAACTTCTTCCCCCTTGGAGTCCTCCAGAGGCGGCCAGGAGCCTGGCCTACTAGGCAGAAGGCCTGAGACTCATCTCCGGCTGGCTGACACCAAGGGCCCACGCGACTCCCCGGCCACACTCTATGCAAGGTGGGCTTATAGAAATTCCCAGATACCCACTTTTGAAAAAGGCTCACTAAGCTTTAACAAGACCAAGGCCTAGCAGAGCGGCCTTTGGGCCACACTGGGCCACTGCGGAGCCTGCTTCGGCAGCCTGGCCGCAGTCTACCTGTCCCGGCATGGCTCACCTCACACCCTCCATGGACAGAATGAAATTCACACCCAAGGAGTCGGAGGAAGTGCTGTGAGGGAGGCAGACCTGGGGGCAAGTATGGTCCCCGAGACCTTGGGGCCTCAGCAGTCCAGCAAAAGGGGCCAAGGGTCGACCATGACAAGAAAAGTGCCCTTCTCCAAGCAGGCCCAGCCCCGCAGAGGCCAGGCAGCTCCAACCTCAAGCCACAAGTGAACTCGTCCCTCTCTGCTTACTGCTCTCCCAAAAGCAAGGAGGTAGGTTCAAGACCTAGCCCCTTTGACAGACACGGAAACAGAAGCACAGAGAGCTCAACACACTTGCCCAAACACACAGCAGCCAGCACTCCTCCAGGTCCTACATTCAACTACTTTATGCTCCTGGGCTGAAATCTTATTCCTGGGGTTCACGCCACATCCAGGAGCCTGAAAGGGGACCAAGAAACCCAGTCTCAGCCTAGCAGAATGTGCTCCATGAACAAAGGGTGAGGCCAGGTTCAGGCACGGAGTTCAGTCTGGTAAGAGGGGCACAACAAAGAGGTGAACACTTCAGGGCAGCAATGGGCAGGAGAGCAATCACTGCCGCTCCGCTACAAAGGCGGGGGGGGCAGTTGGTGAGGTCACAAGAAGGGGTGGGAATCGTGGGAGTCCCAGGAGGTCAGGCATCAGCCACAGCTAGGGTCTCAGAGGCACAGAGCCCAGTAGCAGGTGACTGCCCAGGGGCAGCCTGAATGCAGAGGACACCGGACCACAAAATCCAAAGACTAATCAAGTACAAAAGCCAAGTGGAAGGTCCGCAGCGCTCACTGACGTCGTGCGTGTTTAGTGTTTTGCTAGAAAAGGCTGCGCTGTCAGCACCTGGGAACCGTTCAGCCCCTCTTGGGTTTGGAAGGGAGGCTGTGCCGAGGTCTGGCTCTACCAGGCCGGGGCGGGGGGGAAGAGTCCTGGCTATGTGGCTCCACCATGCTGCAATGTTTTGACTATGCAGGTAGGCATAGGTTACTCTGCAAGAAAAGAGATGCCACAGGGAGTGTCAAAACGCCAGCCAGGCCCCCAGCTGCCTCTGCATGCGACAGCTCACGCATGAGTTTCCACCTGCCCACGCAGGCCTGGGTGGCACTCTCTCCCCAGGCCCCCTGTGGCTGCAGCGCTGGGCTCTGCCCTCCTCCTGCTTCCCTGCCAGAGCACACGCAGGCACTGTTGGGATGCTCTTCCCGACTCGGGAGTGGCCGGGCAGCCCCGGTGCTCCAGGTGCTCCACGGGCCCCATCCTGGTCGCTGCTGTATGTCACAATAACTGTCCTTTTATGAATCGCCTTTCCTGGCCCCCAGACTGGAGAGCACCTGAACATAAGCCTTGGGTCTTGCCTACCTGGGAGCCCCAGACATCCGGCCACAGGCCCGGTGCACAGCAGGGGACAGGTCAAGGAGGGAGGGAAGGAGGGGGCAAGGAAGAAGGAAGGAGTGAACAAGCCCCCAGGCTCATGCTGGGCCCTGCTGAGGGCAGCAGTCTGCTTTCAGGACTCGGGTTGGGGTGGCCCCAGTCCGGAAGAGGCTTCATTGCACCCTTACAACTCTCTCTGGCTGGACTATATGGTCAGCACACAGGAAAGGCTGGACTTGTGCCTCTGCTGGTCTGCAGGGCCAGCCTGGGGCCACAGCCCATGGACCTCACCCCCAAATGTCCTTGTGCTCTGAGGTGGGGGAAGCCTGCCAAAGGTTTAAGAGTGAAGACCTTCAAGAGCAACAAGTCCTCCGCCCCAGCACAGATCTCAAGGGGCAGAGGGAGCCTCAACAAGAGGAAGGGCTGCTCCCCGACTCACCGGCAGGTGTGCGGGCCAACTGGGGCGACGCTCTATGCGGATTCTGGCGGGGCTAAAATGATTGATGGGGGCGCTTTCTGCCCAGGAGACCAGCGCTCACACCTACAGTGCCTGGAAACCAAGGCCACACCAAAAGAAGCCATGCGAGCGACCAGCTCTGGTGACAGATAACCGGCACAACCGTTAGCCTCCCTAGCAGCTCCTTGGTCCACAGGCCACGGGCTCCTCCCCCGTGTTCTGAAGAGTCCTCGGGCAGTGGCCCTAGCAACCAGACAGGTCACGTGTGCCCCATTAATCCAGGTGCATCAAGAAAAATGGCTGGAAAGAAATGGAGAAAGGTCTTTTTGTGGCTCTCTGGGCTGGGACTGTGTCCAGGGCTAACCCCTGTGCAGGCTGCAGGCTTGGCTGTATTTTGTGAAGCCGAAGATATGAAAATGGCCGCGGCCCCTTTCGCTGTTTGTGATGCTCCCGGCTGCATCTGGTGCAGGGAGGGCTCGGGTGACAGCACGTGACACAGGGAGATTGCTGGCTTGCAGCCACCGCCGGAGGGCTCTGAGACTCAGCCAGCTAGGTCAGCCTGAGAGTGACAGCAGATCCTGCCACCCGCCAGGTGCTGCCTCTCATGCGGGGCTGAGGAGCCCCCATTTGTCCCCGTCGGCGGGGCCCGCGGGTGGCACTGGGGTCCCCAAGGCATACGTCTTCCGCACGTTGTCACTCTGGACTGCCCGGTCAGCGAACTGGACTAGAAACAGGAGCCTGTTGTTTGTAGCAACAAAACCCACCAAGATAAAGATAAGGCAGGTAGTTTGTGGTCCGAGAAAAGCAAACATACCTTGAAATAGCCGAAGCATACGAAAATAAAATAGACACTGAAAGCAATCCTGAAACCTCAAACCAGCCCACTGTAAACACTGCAGCTCCGCCTGTCCCGAGGGGGAAAAGAGAGTCAACTCCCAGAAGAGCGTTCCTTGTCCCTCCAGATGGGATGGGAGCACTCGAGTCGGGTGACACCGCAATGAAGATGAATTCATGCTGGTGACATCCCAATGAGCAACACTGGATTTCCAGATGGCCACGTCCAGGACCAGAGGCCGGCGGGACTGCCCAGCCTGTGCTTTACTGAAATGTAAACATCATCCTCTGCACACACACCGTCTAATTTCCCTGCTGGCTCCGACAGGTCCAGATCTGACTGTGGATTCCACAGAACTCGCCGCCTAAAATGCCATGTACACAACTGAAGCATGACCAGGGACGCCAGCCCCTGGCCCCTTCCCGACAGGGTGTGGGGGACAATGTCACCCTGAATGCAGGACAAGGAATGAGGAGGAAAACTGAAGCGATGGGGTAGATGATTTAACAGAGACATTTTATTTGCTGGCTGGCTTCCGCCTGCAGACTTCCCTGGCCCTGGCTCGCTGCCATGCAAATGAAGGAAAAATCAATATCCGCTGGTCGGCAAAACATCGTGTGAACAATCACACTGCAAACAACTTATATAATACCCCTCGCTCCATACCCAAATCACAGTGAATGTTTTTGTTAGAGGGCAAGTGTAAAGTAAACAGGGAAAGAAGAAAGAAAAGAAAAGAAGGCAATTTTGCAGGTCCTCCTTCAGCAAAACCTTTCCAGACTTGAGCGGAGAGATAATCTTTCTGCGATTATGACCAAACCCTCCCGTCACTTAGCAACACATAATTAAGGAATATGTTTTCAGATCCGCTTTGCAAGCCTGGCCATTATCAGATGAAATTACTGGAGCAACAAATGTCATCGCCATGCAAATTAGTTGGTTGCAAAGAAAAGAATGTTTGAGAGAGCAGGCACAGGCCCTCGGAAAAATTCTCTGCTGCCCCTCCCGCCGCACATTTATTCAAGGAAGTCAAGTAAGTGATGTGATAAGACTTAACAAAATCCACGAGACCGAATCAGAATCCATGTGACAAAACAGAAAATCAGGCCAGTTGCTCAGTCTCCCCTTGGAAACAAAAAGCAAACTGCACGGGGGTCACCTCTAGGAGGTAATATTCCTAGCAGACATGGGTTCGAGGTCCCGCGCCTCAGTCCCTGTCTACAGCTGCTTCGGGGCTATTTTCAAAAAGGTAGATCTTTTTGTTTCATCATGATTTTCACAAGCTATTAGGGGGAAAAAAAATCATTTGAAAAGATTCTGTTTTCTGAGTTATGTAGGGGAGGCAGGCAGGAAGGAAAGAATATGTTGAAAGGAAGAAAACTGATTTACATTTTACATTTTTGGTCAAGGCTCTAGAGTTAAAATAAACATTCTAAATGGTGTTCTGAGGACGCCCACCTAGGACTTCATCCACGACGTCCAAGGAAACACACGCCATAAATTCCACCTGGCACATGCTGTGGAGAAAACCACCTACCATCATTTTCCCTTTCCTGCACTTGGAAATAGATTCTTCCCTACAAGCAAGCGGAATTCCCAACTGTATTTTCTGATATGAGAGACTAAATCTGTTTTTGAAACAGAGAGTTCTGAGGGATTTCAACATCTTGCATTGTTTAACCCACAAGTATGCAAACACACACATTTTCGTCTCCACGGAGGGTAATCCCTGCCTCTGATACCGCGTGCGGACCCGTGACAGGTACGTTTCCACATGATCACGCCCTTCGAAATGCAGGATGCACACTTTACGGCCAGCATTTGATGGAACATTCCCGCCTTCTCCAAAGCTCCCTAGTGTGAAGTAGAGAAAAGACCACCCCTTGTGAGCTCAAGGCTGCAGCCTGTTTCTCTAAGAAACAGCTGAGTTTTACCATCATAAAGGGAAATCCACAAATCAACCTGACCTCAAATCTGGCCTGATATACAAATCTGATTAACCTAAGAGAAGCCGTGTCAACTGGCTACAGTGCTAAGGCCTTCTGGTTTGGTGGGGTGTGGGGGTGTGTGTGTGTCCTGGCAAGTGAGGACTTACCATCCTATGTTCAACCTTCTACACCCCCCTCCCCACACCTCCCCCGCAGTCCCCAGGCAGGGCAGGCGGGGAGGATGTATTACTTGGTTCTGGTGCAAGCATGGTGGACACGATGATGGGCGCCCCCGTGCGCCGGGCCACCTTCTGGTACGGTGAGTGAGGTGTGTGGAGGCTCTGGCTGGCTGGCGGCAGGGTGGATGGTCCCGGGGGGACACCCAGCTTCCGCAAGACCTGGGGGCTGCCGTGTGGGCTGGGCAGTGGAGAGGCGGCCACGTTGCGCTCCCTCTTCAGCAGTTCCATGGGCACCGTGTATGCTGTGGAGTAGGCTGTTCTGGGGCCTGGGTGAAGGGGGTTCGAGGGGCCCGGGTTAGTCAAGGCCACCCCTGCCTGCAGGGGATACGTGGGGCTCAGACGCGCTGTCAGGGCACAAGGGGTGGGAGAGCTGTACCCGGAGTTGGAGGGGAAGTGGGGGGCATGGGTGCCCACGCCAGGGGCGGAATAGGTGGCCGTCGTCTCCAGGAGGTGCTGGGAGGGTGCGCTGGAGGGGCGGCGAGCCGGGTCTCCAGCTCGGGGGGATGCTGTCTGCAGGGGACCCGCAGGCTGGGGCTGCAGGGCCGCAGTGCCAAGAGAAGCCAAGTCACCATGGAGCAGTTCACTTCGGTGGCTGAAGCTGCTGGACCGTGCCCGGGGCAGGGAGCCCACCCGGTCCTGCCTCCGCAGCTGCATTTCAGTCCTGCAGCTGCTGGCCAGGCGGCTCAGAACACGAGCCTGGCCCAGGTTGGGTGCGACAGACTTGATGTCTGCGTCCTCCAGGGTGGCCAGGACGGCCGGGGAGTCAAAACCTTGCTGCAGTAAGGCTGCCAGCGTGGCCTCCGCCAGCCCCTCTGCTCGTAGGAAGGCCAGGAACTCGGGGGGCATGGTCCTCTTGCCGCCAGGACCCTGGAACGCAGACAGGTCAGCGTCATAAGTCTCATAAACCATCTTGGATGGCATGCCTTCCCGGGCGGGCCCGTAGCCTCGATTCAGGGCCCCGGGGGCCACCCCTGTGCTGCCCTCAGAGGCAGCAGCTGAACTGGGGTCCACCACCAGGCACGTCGGGGCCACCTGTCTGGCAGGGGCAGGGTCAATGGGTCTTTCACTGATGTTGCTGAAGATCTGGCTCTGGGGGTAGGCGGGCGCCTCCGCCCCATACCTGGTGTTGGGCTGCTCTCCTCCATACCGCCTGGGGGACGCGGCCCTGCTTGGTGTCCGCTGCGCCTGAGGGATCATTTTACCTCTAGGATCCTGGTATGGGTGACCGGTGTCCTGCAGTGCGGGTGACCGGCCCTGCATGTGATCCCATGACGTTCTGCTGCCAAGCACTGCATAGCTGGGCACTGGCCGGCTAACTCCTGGGTCCGGGTAGAAGGGAGGCTCTTTGGGCATCCTAGAAGCTCCAGATGGGTCATTGTAGTAATCCCGGGGCAGCAGGGGGCTGCGGCCAGACATCACTGCCTGTCTGCTGTCGTAGAAGGTAAAGTCAGGAGTAGACCCCTTTCTTGCAGCCACTGAGTTATAAACGGCCTCTCGGTACAGGTAGGGCTCGGCGGCCCCGGGCAGGGCAGCGTCCTGTGGTCGGTGGTTTGGCTCGAACCAAGCCCCCTCTGCTGTGCCATACGTCATAGAGCTTCTCCTCCCCAGAGGCTGCAGGCACTCAGCGTTCTCCCAGGAGCCCTCGTACCACCCGGCAGCATCCCAGCTCTGAGAACGACCAATATTTATATGCCTGCTGGGAACTGGCATTGGAAAAAAAATGACTGCGGACGAGGCAGAGGAGAAGCTTTTCTTTATAAATCTTCAATTACATACATCAAAAACAGAACTGGCTGTGTGCTAACCCTTCTGAGATGGCAGGGACAACCAACTGGGGTTTTCTGTTTCAAAGCATGGCTTAAATTATTAATCCTCCGAAACCTTAGTAGACAAAACAGAAGACTCACGGTAACTTTGCCTCACTCCCCAAAGGTAGCCCGAGAGGTCTGTTCCTTACAGCTCAGTCCCAGAGAGGAGGACGTCCCCAGCCTGCCAGGTCCCCCTTCCTGGCCAGAGTGCTCACATGGACCGGGGCTCTCTCAGCATGCGGATTAGGAGCTAAATAAAACCCCTAAAGCTTTGTTCCATGTGACATCTCGTTAGACTGATAAAGCCGGCGCTGGCTCCATCGAGACTTCCTAGACCGTAACTGGGAATTACTTTCACACCGAGGCTTGGGTTTCTACTCCCTCTTCCGCACCAGGGTACTTTTAGGACGAACACTCCCTCCCCGTCTGGAAGGGGCTACTCCCACCTCTGTCACTGATTCCTGAGAGGTAACAGAAGCAAAATAGGGCCGCTTCAGTGTCAGCTCATTCTTAATCCGCCGCGATGAAACGTTAATCCACGACACACAGCTAAACGCAAATGAAATGTGGATCAACAGAAAAAGGTCCACACATGTTCCCAGTCCATGATGTCTAACCCAAAAGAGAGGCTAGCTCTGAAACCTGATGCTTTGATAATCATGAAATCTGGCTTTGAGATGACTCTTTGGTTGTGAATCAAACGGGTTCCAGCGCTCCAGCCCAAATGCATTCTTTACCTTATTACTGAGAAACACAGATCCGTTCATACTGCTGGGGGAAAAAGGGCATGTGTAATCTAGAATTTAAAATGACTGCAACAGAGGTCACAGGAAAAGGAGGATGGGTGACTAAACCTTATCACTGCAAAGCAAACTGGGAAGTGGCTACATCTGAATATCTCACCTTTTAGGCATGTCAGAAAGAAAAGCCTAATTCCAGCAGGCTTAGATCCTGCAGATGATTTTCCGTATTCACATGGATTAAGCTGTTTCAGTCCACAAAGGACTTCAGGCGCAACAATGCAAAGAACAGCAGTTATTTAGATAAAGGAGCGCTCCAAAGTATGAAGACATTTCCTTAAACATCTAGAACAGTCCCAGGGAAGCAACGTCCTGGACTAAAGCGGTAGGTTCCAGTGATGCAACTGTAGGGTTCTCATGACAAAGAAATCGCCACCAAAATAAAAGCCAGCGATTAGGACGCTGCAAAGACTGTCCACTGAAAGCATTTTAAAATGAGACACTATGCATACGGGCAAGCATTAAACCCAAGAGTGCTGTGCGCTCACCCACATCTCTTTCAATCTAGCATTCTAGAATTTTCTAAGGAGCAACACCCACCTTTATTTTTATTTTTTTTTTTGAGATGGAGTTTCGCTCTTGTTGCCCAGACTGGAGTGCAACGGCACAGTCTCAGCTTACTGCAACCTCCACCTCCTGGGTTCAAGCGATTCTCCTGCCTCAGTCTCCCGAGTAGGTGGGATCACAGGTGAGTGCCACCAGGTCCAGCTATTTTTGTATTTTTAGTAGAGAGGGGGTTCTGCCACATTGGCCAGGCTGGTTTGAACTCCTGACCTCAGGTGATCCACCCACCTTGGACCCCGAAACGCTGGGATGACAGGTGTGCGCCACTGCACCGGCCCACGCTTCAGTATTAAGTCGTCTTGCCAATTTCTTTCCTCTCCTTGTTGTCAGGAACAACATGGCATCGTGTGGTGTTAGCACTATGCGACCCCACTCATGGTGCAGGCACACCCCTCAAAGATGGGGGAATGACCTTGGAGCCTTCCAGGAAAATCCTCCATGCCAAGTCTTTCTGGAACAGGGTAGGTAGCTCTGCTGACTCACCTCAGCTTCAGCTTAGCAAGTTCTTAAATGGAAACAGGGCTCTATAAAAGAATATTTACCTGCCAACTCCTAAGAAACCAGTAATGATTCTTAAGAGGTTCCTAAGCTGGTGTCTGAGGAGGGACCATGGAGCAGGGCGGATTGCTTTGGGGCGGCGTCAGCCTCCCATTGAACCAGGAGGCCCAGCTTCCATTTCTATCAACTTCCAACTCGTTCTGCTTGGAAACCACCCAAACTCACACAGCCTTGGCTCTGAGACTTGACAAATATTACGACAGATGTTTTCCCGTGCCAGGTAAAAACACCTGTAACTGGAGTCACACCTTTGCAAACACTCTGGTTACACACATACACACACACACACACCCACACTACAGTCTTTTAGAAAGAACTGCTTTTCTGAAAAATTCTCATGTTGACTAAAACTGAGATGAGACCAGTTTCTGAAAGAGTAACACATCTCACGGGCTTAATTTTTTAATTTTGCCCAGACCCTCACTATAGAATTTATGTCAAGTAAAAATAAGGTAATTGTAGAACATAAAAATCATCTCCTGAAAATTAAGAAAGACAACCCATGCTCTCTTACAGACAAAATGAACCCAAGGAAAAGCCGGTTGTGTAGAATAACCTAACAGCCACATCCGGGTGGGAGGCGATGTCCGCCCAAAGCCACTTCCAAAGTCCCTACGAGACACAAGGTGTCAATTACAACAACAGAGACCCACAGAGATCAGACAATTCCAGAGATGGTTCCAGACAGTTCCAGAAGGGCTGGGAAGAGAGGCCAGGATGGGGGTGATCGGGGGTACCCTCTGACACAGCAGTCTTTGGACAAACTGCCAACAAGCGTCTTGTGTTTCCATTGGAATAATCATGCAGGAAACTGCTTGAAATGAGTGGGAAAACACGACCCTGGGGTCTAATTCTCACTTTTATAGAAAAACAAGATCAGGTGGGATCAGTGAATCTGAAGGTCATTTGGCTCAATGGCATGTCCCTCTTAGCTGTGTTGTCACCTGCACCCACTTGGTGGCCTGCCAGGTCTGTCTCAAGGCCTTCTCAGGGGACAGCTCATTCTCAGGCAGCAGCCAACCCCAACCCAAACTTAGGGAACGGCTTCCCCAGGAGGTCCAGCACCTGCCTGGGCTTCCTTTCCCTGGTCCTGCTTCTGCCAATGCGAAGGGCCAGGGCAGCTCTGAAGGTGACAGTGGAAATAAGATCTCAGGAGGCTCTTCGGTGCCTGCTGCATCCCAGGACGGAGCCACCACAGTGCCCTCTGCGTCTACCACAGCCAGCACCTCCCTAGGGAGGCTGTGGAGGTTGGTGGGTTACAGTTTTCTGGGAGACACAGGATACAAAGTCCAGCCTATGGCATACCCACTTCCTGTTTTTAAATGTGGCATGCCTGTCATCCCAGGGCTTTGGGAGACTGAGGGGGGCAGGTCACCTGATGTCAGGTGTTGGGAGACAGCCTGGTCAACATGGCAAAACCCCAACTCTACTAAAAATACAAAAATTAGCCAGGCATGGTGGCTCATGCCTGTAATCCCAGTTACTTGGGAGGCTGAGGCAGGAGAATCGCTGGAACCCAGGAGGCGGAAGTTGCCGTGAGTGGAGACTGCACCACTGCACTCCAGCAAACAGAAAGTCTGGTTGGGTTTCAAAGCAGCTTTCATCTAAACCGCACAAGCACACAGCAAAAATGAGCAAAACTGCAGATGTCGTTTCAGTTCTCACAGGGGCCGGGCGGCACCAAGTGTCCTTGGTTGCACACCAATTTCTAGGCCTGGAGCGCAGAGGCTTGGGCACCAGAACAACGCTACAAAGGAAGTCAGGAGAGCGACATGGAGGGTCCGCACCAACCCAGCCCTTTCCAGATTAGCCAGATCCTAAGAAGTCCCAGCCCTCATGTCCTCATATGTAGCCACGGGAAGTGAAAACAAAGGCTTGCACATGCTTCTGACTCAAGACTATATTGTAAAGCTTCCTGAGAACTACATTATGGAAATCAGTATGATTGCCACTCATTATGGGGTTAAAATATAAAAAAAAGCAACCCCACTCTCTTGCACGGCCCATTTTGAAAGTGTCTGTGGAGCCAAAGTGTGCCTGGGACCCCAGCTCGGATGCAGGACAGGCCTCACCCTGGGTCACGTCGGGATTCCCATTTCTAGCAATGGAACACAGTCAGCCTCAGAGGCTCAATGAACACAGTAGGCACTCAATGAACACCATCCCTTCTCTTTAGCAGCTTTTCCTGCAGATTCCCAAAGTTTCCACCTCACCGACACGGTGCCCCCGCCCACCCCATCACACTCCACGGTTAGAGGTCTCCTTGGCCGTCCTGGGATCGACTGGAAGGTTCCAGGACTTCTTCCTTCCACTGGCTTTGTCAACGCTGCTCGCCAGCCCTCCCCCATGAAGCTTTCTCAGTCCCATTCTGTCACTGTGTCCTTAGTCTAAAAAATCTGCCACTTCTTAAGATGAGAAAAGCACTCTAAAAATAATCCAGGGAATGCACGTGGCCGCTGAGCCCCTGAGCTGCCAGCGCTGCCCCTCCCACACGGTGCGGGCTCCCTCCATTCACCACAGGCTTTGCATTTCGCTTGACACCCAGGCTGTAAATCAAACTGTCCAGTATGACTCAATGGTGATGGACGGCGCTTGGCCTCAGGAGGTGTACGGTGTCATAGGGGAAAACGACAGAGACATGTACATGGTCCCCAGAAGCCCCTCCCCACAACCACTTCAGCTCTCTGAGCCTGAGCCCACATCAAAGCCCAAACAGCCCCGTTTGCAAGCATGGGCATGGTGAGCACTAAGTTAGGCTAAGTACCCACCTCCCCAAATACAAATGGCGGCCTGACAGGGACCTGCCTCACCTCAGCCTGCCCGTGGACACTCAGCACATGGGCCTCGATGGTACAGTCAGCCTTCCTTAGAACATGGAAGAACTGACTCTCCACCTCACTCCAAAGTCTTGGGAAGATCCGCTTCACCTAACCCAGGCTGCAAATGGGAAGGGAGGGACCCTCCTGGCACACACATCTCTGCAACCAGAACACAGAAAACAAAACCCTCTGGTGAGGGGAAACAGACTGGAGGGACAGGGAGGGTGGGATCCTGCTGTGCCCAGGTGCGTGACACCCAGAGCGCTCTCCCCTCTCTCCTGGCGTCTTCACAGCCCAGCTGGGGTGCTCAGCCAGGGTCCTACTGGATGTGGAAGGGCTCAGAAAGGCACTTGAGGTCACTCCATAGACAGAGATGAGACAGAGACAGAACACCCTCGAGAGCTCACGCCAAGGCGCCTGAGCCTTAGAAGCAACAGAGCCAATCAGAAAGGAGCCTCATTTCACAGCTTACCACTGTATGTTCTGGAAAAAGAGAGGGCAAGAAGATGGCAGCAAATTGCATCTTGGGGTTCCAGTTCAGTCGCCCCAAATACCTGCCAATTAGGTTGAGCTGTGTGAAGAGCGCAGCCCATCCTCTGCATTCATGCAGGCTGCCGTCTGCTGCCGCCTGGCTACCCCAGGGCCTCCTGCAAACATGAAGACTACTCTATGCACTGCTCCTCCAGAGGCACTGACTGGCCTGAAACCAGAGACGTTCTTTCCCCAAAGGTGCCGGGGTCAAGAGGACACGCACTAAGGGTAACGTCTGAGGTGGCCAGGCCCAGCAGCTCTGGGAGCTGTGGGAGCTTTGAACTCAATCATCGATGGAGACCGGGCACCACCTACCAGGGGGTGGCGGGGGGGGGGGTGGGGCGCAGGAGCTGAAAACCGCAGCCACAAACCCAAGCCAGAAGACAGTGATGAACTCCAAATCCCAGCCACTGACTCTAATCGCATGACACATCCCTGGCCCCCGAAGCAAAAGCAAAGCGACCTTAACATGTTGCTTTAGAAAAAGGTGGCGAATATGGAGATATCTGCCCATCACCAAACTGACCGGTGCAAAGAGATGCTGACATTTGTGCTTGGGAGATGAGTAACAACTGAGAAGTACAACACTGAACCGGATTCGCAGCTGCAGAAAGGCAGGGCAGTCTATGAACCCCACCGCAGTCGGCGGAGGAGCAGGTGGGGTTGGGGGTTCCTTGGGGAGGGGTCCCCACCCTGAGTTTCTCTTAAAGCCAGGGACAGTAAAGGCAAATGTGAACTTTTACCCCTTGCAAATAACGGCACTTTTGCCGGTGAAGCTCTGCCTTCGCTGTTTCCTGAGCCTTTACTTTCGAGTAAGATTGTTGGGTACGTTCATTTGTGCTTTGGAGTTTTAAGGCATGTCTAGTTGACTATTGTATATTTACATAGCTAATGTAATTATAGCTAATCACATAATTGCTGGAAATGTGCATAATTGCCTGATCCCAACATATAATTATAATGTATAGCAACACTATAAATCTCATTTTAAAAATCCACATTTTGGGGCTATTTAAAGTTATTTATTAGAGCTATTTGTGGACTTCCTATAGGCAGGCTTCAACTGTTTCTTTAGAAAGAGCTCAAAGTGCTTTAAAAAACAAACAAAAACAAAACAAGTCCTGATTTTAGAATTCGTTTTTACAAAGATAGGTGAAACAAAACAGCTACCCAGAACAAAAACAAATACCATCTCAAACACCAAGCACAACAATTTGTCAATACTCTGTGGAAAGAGAAAGTCACCCGCCTAGCCGGGAGGCTCTGCTCTGGTGGGGATCCTCCCCACACCCCCCAGCCAGCCCTGCCTGGACTTCCGTGACCCGGTGACCTGCAGGCGCCTGTCTTTGTTCTTTATACATGCTGGGATCATGAATGAACGTTCTTGGGGGCAGGTTCCACTGAGATGTGCTTCCACAATGGCAAGTTCAACCCCCTGAGAAGAGCAGAAGAGCTTGTGACACAGAAGAAGGCACTGCAGAAGCTCCCTCCCGCCTTTCCCCTGGCATCTTCTCCAACTTCCCATCTTCCTCTGTGACGAAGATGATGCGGAATGAGACTCCCGGAATGTCTGTCTATGTGTTTCACAGAAACCAGCTTGTCTCCTTTTCCCCACGTCCATCCAACCAGCTTAATCTCCTCCTTCCTTTCATTCTCTGTGGTCGTGAGAACATTCCAGAGGTGAGGAACGTTTTATGAGATTGTTTATTTAAGAGGAGGTACCTATTATTTTCGCAGAGGAAATGGAGAAGCATCCTCCCTGAGTCATGTTACGAGAGGACTAATCACAGCTCAGCCGGGATCATCCTTGGAACCATTTTCCACGTCTCTAACACATTCGAACAAAATGCAGTAAAACGAAACGTGCTTTTTTTCAAGTTGCAATATCAATAGCCACAGGAAAGGAGGGTGTTTACGGACGGATTCTACCATAACCCACAAGAAGCTCCTCTAACAAAATGTCACCAACAACAGCCACTGTGGTTTATTAAGTTCTGCGAACCCAGGGCACTTCCAGATGCTCCTCTGGGTTCCCTCTACAACGCTAAACGGTTGTGAGCTAGCCCTCATTTCCAACCAACAAATGTCCGGGGCAGACCAACGAGCTGTGGCATAGCGCAGTAAGGTAGGGACTAACACCTTCTGGCTGTTGCCGTTTACAACGTCAATTATGCCAGTAAAAGAAACTATAGGAAAATCTAAGTTAAACTTGAAAATGAGGGGACCACCGTCTTATTCTGATCAGCCTACGATATGACAGGGCTCCTTCATAATCATTCTGACATGGTATTCTAGGACTGTTTGATAGTAAGGCATCAGAAAAAGAAGAACAAATTATAAATATCAAACTGAAAGAGTTACATTAAAAAAATTAAAATCTGGCTTTTCCGTCAGCTAGACAGACCATTATTCCAACTGATTTGCCTGGAGTCCCAAAGACTGGCCGTGTCCTGCTCTCTGTGTAGAGACAGAGCCTGGCGGGGTGAATTCCCACGGTAGATTCTGGGCATACAGAGTGATCAAGCTCCATGCCACTTTTTCTTGCTTTGAAAGTTTCAAGGAGGAAGGGGCTGGACAGGCCTTAGAAGGCAGGGAAAGGTTCTAGAATTTTCTGTGCAGGGGTGATGCTCAGATTCCACCGGAATACCTGGAGTGGGACCCTGGAGAGGCCTGCCTGAATCCAGCCTGGGACCCCACGACCAGGACCTGATATTGGGGTTGTGTAGCAGGTGGGAGGGAATGAGTGTGAAGGAGTTAGTGATTCTAGACATGGACAGCCAGAAGACAAAGTTCCTACAAGCCTGGAAGCAGCCGGGTAACCACAGCAGAGCATGGCAGCTTCGTGAATCATTTAGAAAGAAAATAAACTTAAGGGACGCAAAGAAATCCTTGGGTCAGGTGTAGGCAGTGGGGAGGGAGAACAGATAGTCTGACAGGCTCTCTGTGTATCAGTACAGAACATTCTACAAGTAGTTCAGGTTGACAGGAGAGAGACATGGTGAGAATTCAAAGCTAGAGGGAGTGTGTGTGTGTGTGTGTGTGTGTGTGTGTGTGTGTGTGTGTGTTAGATGTTCAAGGCCCTCACGTGGAAGAAAGAGCTGAATCCAAGGAGCTGATATAAGAGAAGGACAAACAGAAAAAAACAAAACGGACTGCCCAGGTTCCCGGGTGCAAACTGCCCACTGCTCAGCACCTCTCTGGCAGCACCTGTGAAATAGGTGCCACCCATCCTCACCCGTAACAGATGCCACAAGGACTGAGTCAGCTTATACACGGGAGGAGCACTAACAAAGCACCTCGAAGCAACTGTTAGTACTTCATGAGATGCCCCGGGAGCTGACACACAGGTGACCCACACGCCTGTCTGCGTTGATCGTGGTTACTGGGAACTCTGCACGTGGACCTGGAACACTATGCACAGAGCAGGCGACACACACTGAACATTTCCTATTACACATGAACGGGGTGGGAAGGCTGGTGAACCACCCTTCACCAACACCTGCCTGGATGGGACAGAGGGTCTGCAAGTGACAATGGCTTTGCCCAAGTCAGGTTTATACAACCCTGGAAATGCAGACAGGAAACGATACTGGCTCCTCGATTCCATTCTAGTCTCTGATGCAACACCCCTAGAGAATCCGGGGGGAAGGGGGTGGAATCAGCCCCAGAGGCATTCCTCGTACTAACCTTGGAAAGCTGAGTCACGAGGGCTTTCCAGAAGCAAGTCCTCAGTAACCACAATCAAGCAGCTTTACACTGGAAAGAGTAAATTTTACAACTCCCCATTCAATCTGGTGAACCCATATTGTGGAATATTCGACAAATCAATGGGGCCTGGGCTCTTCAGTATGTCCAGTGTCCTTGAAAGTCAGCCGGGCTCGGTGGCTCACACCTGTAATCCCAGCACTTTGGGAGGCTGAGGCGGGCAGATCACAAGGTCAAGAGATCAAGACCATCCTGGCCAACATGGTGAAACCCTGTCTCTACTAAAAGTACAAAAAATCGCTGGGTGTGGTGGTGGGTGCCTGTAATCCCAGGTACTTGGGAGGCTGAAGCAGGAGAATTGCTTGAACCCAGGAGGAGGTGGAGGGTGCAGTGAGCCGAGATTACGCTACTGCACTCCAGTCTGGTGAGTCTGGTGACAGTGAGACTCCATCTCAAAAAAAAAAAACCAAACCCAAAAAACCTCACACAGGCCAGAGGAGTATTTTAGATTAAGGAGACTAGAAAGATAGAATAACTGAACACCATGTGTGATCCTGGCCCGTTGCACAGGCAGAGATGTGGGGAAATGTGAACATGCAGCTCCTATTGGACAATCCTGTAGTGAGGTTAAACTTCTGGGTTGATTCTGGCATTGTGAGCATGTAGGACACTGGATAAAAGGTGACACATGCCACAGGTATTCCAGAACAAACTGCTGCCTCTGCATTTTTGTTGTTGTTGTTGTTTGAGACAGAGTCACATTTTGTCGCCAGGTACCAGGCTGGAGGGCAGTGGCCTGATCTTGGCTCACTGCAACCTCCGCCTCCCGGGTTCAAGCAATTCTCCTGCCTCAGCCTCCCAAGTAGCTGGGACTATAGGCGTGTGCCATCATGCCCAGCTGATTTTTCTAATTTTAGTAGAGACGGCCACCATGTTGGTCAGGATGGTCTCAATCTCTTGACCTCATGATCCGCCCGCCTCAGCCTCCCAAAGTGCTGGGATGATACGCGTGAGCCACCGTGCCCGGCCTGCCTCTGCATTTTTTCAGATGGTTGTGGAAAAAAAATCCATCATCCACTCACACACGTGTCCATTTATATGTATACCTCTATCTCCCCTCAAAGAAATCGTATCAACTGGAAAATGGAATGGAAGAGGCTGTTCACCGTGCTGTCCTACAGCCTCTCTGTAGTTTCTCGCAATTTGTGAATGTTTACTTTCAAAAACCCCTTTAATGCCAAACTCCTTATATTGAACCCCAGGAATGTCAGCGCTTTTGTGATCTGGCAGCACAGAGTTCTGTGGGGGCATGGAGTCAATCAGCAGAACGTCTTTCATGTCCCCACCCTGTATGGCTACAGTCACATCTCTTATAGGACAGACAATTCCATACGGGCAGCTGCAGGGGAAGGCCTGTGAGTTGCGTACTCCTGTCTGCGAACTGGCAGGTCAGCTACTGCTTGTGCAGGAAGGCATGCAGAGGGGGCTGCGGGCCACCTCCGGTTCCCTCTGAGAGCCATCCCGCAGGGAGGTACCAGCGGTCACCCTGAGCAAACAGCAGCCCTGTAGCACTGACCCCAAACCCAAATTCACATGTTGGTTTCTTATCACCCGCCAGCTGGGAGAGCACAGAGCTGCATCAACACGTCAGAGTGTGTCCCCAGGTTTCCATTCAATTTTAACTATGTTTATTTTTCCTTTCATGAATAGAACACTTCCAGACATTTCCAAAGATACCAGGGATGTGAACACACCACAAGGGGCAACGCTGGGTTTTTCAGGAATATCATGGAAATCATTCCTGAAAATATCTTAATCCAAAAACAGATAAAGTCCTGAGATTTCAGGAAGTGAAAAAAAAGATGATCCTAATCAGCATCATTTTTCATATGCAAAAGAACCTAAGGTACACGGAAGACAGGGACCTCAGGGCCATGAGACCAGCCCTGAAACTGGGCTCCTTGTCTCCACCCCACCCCAGAAGCCAGGCCTCATCCCACTTGAAGGCCAGGCCCACGGCTAAGGACACCCAGCAGTGGGGGCCGGAGCTGTGCAGTGCTGGAATCGGAGGAGGGGCTCTGGCTTGAGGGTGGCAGCGTCATTCAAGGGAGCAGC